GGGGTGGGGGGAGGGCTCTGCGCAGGCACCTGCGGCCGCGGGGACACGGGCAGGAAGCGGCCAAACGCCACTTCCATCCTTCTCCGGGGCTCCGAGAGCCGCCCGCGCCCCGTGGGGATGGGGGGGCGAGGGGGGGCTGGAAGGAAACCCCCCGTTCCCTGGCCCTCCCTCCCAGTTTCAAGCCCTGCCAATTCCCCACGCCGGGACTCAAGGAATAAGGGGAGGTAAAAAAGAGAGAAACTGGTGAAAATCCCCTCCCCGAGGGCAGTTTTCCTTTTGGTTTGTCTGTCCTGGGCGTAAAAATAACCCCGGAGGGGCTGCCGGGCCCCCCCGGCCCCATGTCCCGGGGGAGGGGATCCAAGGGAGGGAGGAATGGAGGGTTTTTTGGCCACAGAGCGGAGCCCGGGGGCCACCGGCCTCCCCGCCGGGAGGAAAACATCCAGAAAAAACACGGCTTCCACTTGGGGGGTGCCGAGGGGCACCCAGGGGGAGCAGCCCCCATCCCCAGGGAGATCGGGGGGGCGAGGGGAGGTGGCCGTGGGGCCGCTGGTGATGGCTACCTGCAGCCAAAGGGGCTACCTCCAGCTCATCCTCCACCTCGGGCAGGTCTGAGAGCCACCGGGCAACCAGCCTGGGGCTGGGATTGAGGGGGGGGCGGCTCTTTACCCTCTCCTGAGGATGAGGAGCCTCCGTCCCCCCTCCCCACCCCCGTCCCACCCATCTGTCACCTCCGTGTCCCCATAGGAAGAGGGGGAAGGGTTTTAAGGTGAAAAAGGTGAGTTTTAGGTGAGATCTGGGGAGGAAATTCTTTGCTGTGAGGGTGGTGAGAGCCTGGCCCAGGTTGGCCAGAGAAGCTGTGGCTGCCCCATCCCTGGAGGGGTTCAAGGCCCGGTTGGAGGGGAGCTCGGTGCAATCCGGTCCCGGTCCCCCCCCCCGCCCACAGGCCGAGGCGCTCGGGCTTCTGATTGGCTGCCGGGGACAAAGACGGGGGGAGCGGCTGTCAATCATCGGGGCGTGGGTTTAGCGGTCCGGCGGGAAACGCGCCCCCCGCGTCCGAACGTTCCGCTACGGGGTCCGGCGGGAAACGCGTCCCCCCCGCGTCCGAGCGTTCCGGGTACACGGGGGGGACGCGTTTCCCGCCGGACCCCGTAGCGGAACGTTCGGACGCGGGGGGGCGCGTTTCCCGCCGGACCGCTAAACCCACGCCCCGATGATTGACAGCCGCTCCCCCCGTCTTTGTCCCCGGCAGCCAATCAGAAGCCCGAGCGCCTCGGCCTGTGGGCGGGAAGTGGGGGGGGGGGCATTCCCCGCGGAGGGCGGGCGCTCCTGCCCTGACTGACGTGGCTCTCGGCCAACAGAGAGCGAGATCGGCGGCGAGTGCCAGCGCCGCCAGCCAATGGGAAGGCGCGGGGCTGTCAGCCGCCGCTCGGGTGGGGCCTGGCTGCTTGTTGTCGTCCGGTGCCGGAGGAGACGGTCGCCCGCTCGCCAGCCCCGCTCGCTCGCTCGCCCCGGAGGACTCTCAGGTCTCGCTCAGCCGCTCGCTCCGTCCCGAGCCTTCGGGGCCATGTCGCGGTGGGCGGAGGCCCGGTGGGCCGGCGCCAGGCGGCGGACGGCGGCCGAGGCGCACTCGCCCTCCTCGAGCTTTCCCCGGAGACGCCTGCCTTTAAAAGCGCCCCGAGCTTGAAGCCCTTCATTCGCGGCGAGGAGGCCCCGCCGGGACCGAGAGCAGGAAACGCCGGTAAGTCCGCGCCCACCCGCCCCCTCGGAGATTCCCCCCCTCAGGGCCCGGAGACTACAAGTCCCGTCATGCACCGCGGGTAGCGGCCTGCGGGCGGGCGCGCCAGGGAGCGCGGGGCATTCTGGGAGCTGTAGTCTCGGCGAAGCGGCGCCTCAGCCCGCCGCGCGGGGCAGGCCGGGACGGCGCGGCCCTTCCCCGCCGGGCCCTGTCACCTTTAACGGGTTTGAATTTAACGTTAAAACCCCAATTCGTGTCCAGAGCAGGGCGGACAGCGGCTGCTTTGAGACATGGAGCTGTTGGAGCGGGGCCAGAGGGGGGCACGGAGATGCTGGGAGGGCTGGAGCCCCTCTGCTGGGAGGGGGGGCTGAGAGAGTTGGGGGGTTCAGCCTGGAGAAGAGAAGGCTCTGGGGAGACCTCAGAGCCCCTTCCAGTCCCTCAAGGGACTCCAGGAGAGATGGGGAGAGATTCTGGATCAGGGAGGGGAGCCACAGGACGAGGGGGAAGGGTTTGACACTGAAAAGGGGAAGATTTAGGTGAGATGTGGGGAGGAAATTCTTTGGTGTGAGGGTGGTGAGAGCCTGGCCCAGGTTGTCCAGAGAAGCTGTGGCTGCCCCATCCCTGGAGGGGTTCAAGGGCAGGTTGGAGGGGGCTTGGAGCAACCTGCTCTGGTTGAAGATGTCCCTGCCACAAACCTCTCTGCCCTTGACCCCACGGGCACCCAGAGATGGATCCTTCCTGCCCCACCAGCAACAGGAAGGAGCCGTTTCTCAGCACCGGTGACTGTTGCAGTGATAAAATCCATGTCCAATAAAATTCTCCCAGTGTTGAAGGGATCTGTGGAAGCAGGGTGAGCTCCTGCTCCCTGCAGAGCAGAGGGTCAGGCGCCAGGGCAGGTTTTGGCATCCAAGGGACCCATCAGCTCACGGTTTCGGAGGAAAATCTTTTGTTCGAGCAGCACGGCTGCTTGATGTCGGTGTTTTATTGCCAGTGCTCAAGTTTCCCACTGCCTTTTGCATCGCTGAAGAGGTGCTGGGGGGCGCTACCGGCCGGTCTCTGTGCTGGGAGGGAGGGGACATCCTTGTGGCATAGGAACACCCCGCAAAATGTTCCTCTTTCTGCCCCTGTACCTTGTGGGTTGGCGTTTGATTCCCCAATTTTCCCTTCATCGTCTTCCCAAGGCTCTTCCCAAGCTCGTTCCTTGGAAAAGGTTGAGAGGAAGGGTTGGGTTGTGGCAGGGGCTGCTTTGGAACGTTCTAGTTCTCCCCACTGTGGAAGACTGAGCTACTCCGGGGGGGGGGACCAGCCCAAATATCGCTGCTTTAATGGCAGAAAGGACCCAGAGACCTGCCCCAAAGTTTGCCAGGGTGGTGGCAACTCCCTGGGTGCACCCAGGGAAGTCCTTTCCCCTTTGGAGGGCTATTGTTTCCCCTGGTAGCCAATATTTGATGCCGAGGGGGGGTTGTGGAGCTGTTTTGTGCTCTCTGGGGTGTGGGAAGAGCTTCTTTCCCAGTCCCAGGCCGGGGGAGGGGGGTGTTGCCAGCACTGGGTGGCTCGGGCTGCTCTCGTTGGTGCCCCGGGGTCGTGGTCAGTGCTGAAGCTGCCTCGTAGGGATGGTGTTCCCTTTCGTGCTGCTTTGACTTGAGCATCGTCGGGTTTAGTCACGAGGGGTAACGTCACGGTAAGAGTATCCCCGGCCCTGCCGCGGTGTCGGTGTCACCATCCCACAGCGGTGTCACCATCACACCCTCCTGAAACCGCAGGAACAGGAGTCTGCTCCTTCTCCAGCCCCGTCGTGCTGACCAGGACGAGGATGGGGACTTGTTTTCCCCAGGAGGCCTGGAAGGTGCCATTGCTCCCTGGCATCCCGGGAGCCTTGGCATTGCTTCCCGAGAGCCCTGGCATCCTTTCCCTGCCTGTTTACAGCTTCTCCCGTTACAGCTCCCGGAGAGGCCCCGAGCTGGGGAGGGCACATGGGCTGGAGCCCCCGCCTTCCCCTTCCCATCCAGCCATTTGCCCGTCCCCGTCCCTCCCGGGTGACGTTGCCCTGTGTCAAAATAGCTGGAGGCTGCCCTCTTCCTCGCAGCTGGGAGGACTATCCAGTTAACCAGTTAACCAGTCCTGGCGTTGGTCCTGCCCTTGTCTGAGGGCGCTGGCAGACCATGGAGGAGCAGCTTCCTGGGGGGCTGCAGTGGCCACCCCAACTCTGCCCCCAGGGACCACCCTGGGGCTTGTCCAGGGCATGTGTCCCCCCCAGCCCACGGCAGAGCGAGGGCCACGCGCTCTTCCCTGCCTTCGAGGCCAAAAATAAAAAGGCTGGAGACCTTCAAAAGCGAGGAGGGAACTCCCCAGCAGGGCCTGCACCCAAAGCCTCCGTGATGCCGGCACCGCTCCCCGGCAGCTGGTGGGCGCTCACCGCCGGTGCCGCGGGCGAGCTGGCTCCTTGTCACCCAGCCAAAGTGACACAGCGGCGCGTAGGATGGGATGGGAGGTGTGGGTGCTGTCCCTCTTTTTTTTTTCCTTTCCTGGAGGAGGTGTTGGCTTCTCAACTTTCCCTCTGGGCATGGAATCCTTTCAGCTGGGGAGAAAAAAAAAAAAAAAAAAAAAAAAAAGAAACGAACAGAAACCCTTACACTGACCAAATCCAGGCCCCGAGGGTGCTGGCAGCTCCGTGCCTGCCCCGGGTGCCAGGGTCCCTTTCCCCGGCAGGACACGCACACTTCAGCAGCCGTCGCGCAGGGAACCCGCCCCGTGAGCCGAGACCATGAAGCTGTTGGAGAACTCAAGTTTTGAAGCAATAAACTCCCAGCTGACGGTGGAGACGGGAGACGCTCACATCATCGGCAGGTGAGTGCGGGCGGCTGCCTGCTCCTCCTGGGGAAACGGGGCTCATTTCCATCGATTTATTTCCTCCAAGAACAGCAGCAGGAAGTGTTTGCGGTCGGGCAGTCTGTCCCTGATCCTGCTGGAGCAAAGGGGGGATCACTGCTGACTCAGAATCGTGGAATGGTTTGGGAGGGAAGAGACCTTTAAAGCCCCCCCAGTGCCACCCCCTGCCCTGGGCAGGGACACCTCCCACCAGCCCAGGTTGCTCCAAGCCCCCTCCAACCTGGCCTTGAACATCCCCTCCAAGGATGGGGCAGCCACAGCTTCTCGGGGCAACCTGGGCCAGGCTCTCACCACCCTCAGGGGGAAGAATTTCCTCCCCACATCTCACCTCAATCTCCCCTTTTTCAGCTTAAAACCCTTCTCCCCTCATCCTATGGCTCCTCTCCCTGATCCAGAGTCCCTCCCCATCTCTCCTGGAGCCCCCTGAGGGACTGGAAGGGGCTCTGAGGTCTCCCCGGAGCCTTCTCTTCTCCAGGCTGAACCCCCCCAACTCTCTCAGCCCCCCCTCCCAGCAGAGGGGCTCCAGCCCTCCCAGCATCTCTGGGGCCTCCTCTGGCCCCATCCAACAGCTCTGTGTCCTTCTGCTGGTGGTGGCCCCAGAGCTGGAGGCAGCACTGAGGTGGGGGGGGGTCTCCCCGGAGATACAGCAGAGGGGCAGAATCCCCCCCCCTTGCCCAGCTGAGGATGCAGCCCAGAGTACGGGGGCTTTCTGGGCTGCCAGCACATGTTGCCAGCCCATGACCAGCTTTTCACCCACCCCTGTCACCTGGAAAAGCTTTTTGGCTACCTCTGAGTGTCCTTTGGCCGCTCTGTGTGCAGCCTCCTCAGCTCGGGGCGGCTTCGGGAGCTCCTTCTGCTGGTGACACAGCAGAGAGTTGGTCCTTTGCCAGCCCCGGGCCTATTTTTGGGCCTGGCAGAAGGGCTCCTTTTCGGGGCTGCTGCTGGCAGGGCTTTGGCCGGCGGCGCTGAGACAGGGCACTGCGGCAGTGAGGAGCCATTTCTGCCCCAAACTGGGCTTCCTGAGCCATCAGTGACAGGGGGAGCTTCTTGGGGTGGCTCTGGTGGTGGGCAGCAGGTGGAAGGAGATCCTCCTCCCCCTCTGCTCTGCCCACAGCTGGAGCACTGGGACCAGTTCTGGGCTCCCCCAGTTCCAGAAGGACTGGGAGCTGCTGGGGACAGTCCAGGGGGGGCTGTGAGGATGATGAGGGGCTGGAGCATCTCTGGGCTGAGGGACCTGGGGCTGTTCAGCTGGAGAAGAGGGGGACCTCATCGATGTTGATGAACATCTAAAGGGTGGGGGTCAAGAAGATGGGGCCAGACTCTTCCCAGTGGTGCCCGGGGACAGGACAAGGGGCGACGGGCACAAACTGGGACACAGGAAATTCCAAAAAAATCAGGAAAAAGGTCTTTCCTGTGAAGGTGCCAGAGAGGGTATGGAGTCTCCTTCTGTGGAGATCTTCAAACCCCACCTGGACGCATCCAGCCTGCTCTGGGTGACCTCACTGTGGGGTGGGACTGGGTGATCTCTAGAGGTTCCTCCAACCTCCAGTATTTTGTGATTCTGTGATGTGTCCATAATTACGTGTAAATAAACAGGTTTTTGGCATCCTCGTGCAGAGCTAAGACCAGACGATGTGGGAAAGGTCGCTCCCAGGGGGTGGAGATGCTTTCCCTGCACTGCCACCTCCTCCGAGCCCCCCCCTGCCACTGGGCCACCAGCTTCGTGGTGTTGCTGGCCACCTCCCACCGGTGGCTGCGGTGGCCTCAGATGTGGTGCCCTGTGTCTCCGCAGGATCGAGAGCTACTCGTGCAAGATGGCTGGTGACGACAAGCACATGTTCAAGCAGTTCTGCCAGGAGGGCCAGCCCCACGTCCTGGAGGCCCTCTCGCCTCCACAGACCACAGGCATCAGCCCCAGCAGGTACCACGGGCCTGGGGGTGGTGTCTGCCGGGCTCCAAACCACCGGGGGGGTGGGATTTAGGGAGGGAACGATCCTTGGTCGGGTCTGGTCTCATTTCTGTGGCTACTTGGGTTGTTTATAGAGAGGATCATGGAATTATTGAGATTGGCAAAGACTTTTAAGATCATGGAGTCCCACCACGGACCCAGCACTGACCAACCCACCACTGACCCATGTCCCTCAGCACCACGTCTGCCCGGCTTTTCAATCCCTCCAGGGATGGTGACTCCACCACTGCCCTGGGCAGCCTCTGCCAAGGCTTCACAGCCCTTTCCAGGAAGGAATTTTCCCCAATCTCCATCCCAACCCTCCCCTGACCCAATTTGGGGCCGTTTCCTCTCGCGCTATTGCTTAGAATCATGGAATTATCCAGCTTGGAAGGGACCTTTCAAGCTCCTGGAGCCCAACCATCGACCCAACACCAACCAGAACCACCATAAACCGTGTCCCTCAGCACCACGTTTACCACTTGTCTCCATCTTCTCAGTCCCTCCAGGGATGGCGACTCCACCACTGCCCTGGGCAGCCTCTGCCAAGGCTTCACAGCCCTTTCCAGGAAGGAATTTTCCCCAATCTCCATCCCAACCCTCCCCTGGCCCAACTTGGGGCCGTTTCCTCTTGTTCCTTGGGAGAAGAGACCGACCCCCCCTGGCTGCCCCCTCCTTTCAGGGAGCTGTAGAGAGCGATGGGGTCTCCCCTCAGCCCCCTTTTCTCCAGGCTGAACCCCCCCAGCTCCCTCACAAGTTCTCCAGATCCTTCTCCTTGGTCTCCAGACCCCTCCCCAGCTCCGTTGTCCTTCTCTGGACACGCTCCAGCCCCTCAATATCCCTCCTGTCTTGGGGGGGCCCAAAACTAGACCCAGCCTTCGAGGTGGGGCCTCACTGGTGCCCAGTACAGGGGGACCATTGCTGCCCCAGTCCTGCTGGCCATGCTGTTCTGGATACAAGCCAGGGTGCTGTTGGCCACCTTGGCCTCTTGGGCACAGTTCTGGCTCCGTGACAGCACTAACCCTGCCCTTGTGCCCCTCAGGCTCAGCAAAAGCCAGAGCGGGGACGAAGAGGGACCCCTGAGCGACAAGTGCAGCCGCAAGACCCTCTTCTACCTGATCGCCACCCTCAACGAGTCCTTCCGCCCCGACTACGACTTCAGCGCTGCCAAGAGCCACGAGTTCAGCCGGGAGCCGAGCCTCAACTGGGTACGTCAGTGGGTCCTGCAGCCCCACACCGCTTCTCGGGTGGGGTCTGGAAAAGGAGGCAGCCTGGATGTGGTCTGGTTCTCCGGGGAATGCCCCCAGTGCTGCCCCCACCCCGGGTAACCCTCCCCAGGGCATTCCTTGCTCCCTCCTGCAGCGGCAGCTTGAGGATGAGGCAGTCCCTGTCCTTCCCAGGGAAAGTTTTTGGGGTGTCTTTTCCAACAGCATCCCGGGGTGCTTTAGAATCTTAGAATTGTCCAGGTTGGAAGGGACCTTTCAGCTCCTGGAGTCCCACCACGGACCCAGCAATGACCAACCCACCACTGACCCGTGTCCCTCAGCACCACGTCTGCCCGGCTTTTCAATCCCTCCAGGGATGGCGACTCCCCCACTGCCCTGGGCAGCCTCTGCCAAGGCTTCACAGCCCTTTCCAGGAAGGAATTTTCCCCAATCTCCATCCTAACCCTCCCCTGGCCCAACCTGGGGCCGTTTCCTCCTGTCCCATCGCCTGTTCCTTGGGAGAAGAGACTGACCCCCCCCGGCTGCACCCTCCTTTCAGGGAGCTGTAGAGAGCGATGGGGTCTCCCCTCAGCCCCCTTTTCTCCAGGCTGAACCCCCCCAGCTCCCTCACAAGTTCTCCAGATCTTTCTCCTTGGTCTCCAGACCCCTCCCCAGCTCTGAGGAAGCTCTTTGCTGGGGGAGACTTGGGCTGTGTGTCCTCCCCGAGATCCCCTGATGGCTTTTCCCTCTCCAGCCACGTTGTTTCCCTGCTCCCCCAGCTCCGTGCTCCCACCTCAGGGCCCTGAATGAGCCCAGCAGTGCCCTGGCTGTCTCCTTTCTGTCCCTCCGTGGTCATTGTCAGGCTCTGGTGTCCCCTCTTGATGGACGAAGGCAGACAGTAGCCCCCTGCTCCCCTTGGTGGCCCCCTGCTCCTCTTGGTGGCCTCCTGCTCCCCTCACTGGCCCCCTGGCTCTCTCTAGGTGGTGAACGCCGTCAACTGCAGCCTCTTCTCTGCCGTCCGGGAGGATTTCAACGCCCTGAAGCCGCACTTGTGGGACGCCGTGGACGAGGAGATCTGTCTTTCCGAGTGTGACATCTACAGGTAACGGGGCAACTGCTCCCCCGGGCCCAGATCCCAGCCCCTGTCGCACACACTCTGAGAAACCAGAGTGAGTTTTCAGTAAAAGGTCACGTTTTTGGTGTGTGGGAGCAGGGTGGGGTGTCTCCTCGCCGGAGCTGGCTGGCTCCCGGCTCCCTGCTGCTTCCAGCCCCTCCCACGCAGAACTTTCACACCGAGGTGGCTCCCAGTTTGCCCAGTCTCCCCCTTTCCTCCCTCCAGCACGCAGCTGGGATGAGAAACAGGGTTGGCACCAGGAGCAGAGCACAGCACGGTGTTTCTCACGTCTCCATCTTGCTCTTGCAGCTACAACCCCGACCTGGATTCGGACCCCTTTGGAGAGGACGGCAGCCTCTGGTCCTTCAACTACTTCTTCTACAACAAGAGGCTGAAGAGAATTGTCTTTTTTACCTGTCGTTCCATCAGGTCAGGCCACGTGGCGTCAAATCATGGAATGGTTTGGGGGGGAAGGGACCTTAATGCCCCCCCAGTGCCACCCCCTGCCCTGGGCAGGGACACCTCCCACCAGCCCAGGTTGCTCCAAGCCCCCTCCAACCTGCCCTTGAACCCCTCCAGGGATGGGGCAGCCACAGCTTCTCGGGGCAACCTGGGCCAGGCTCTCACCACCCTCAGGGGGAAGAATTTCCCCCCCAGATCTCACCTCAATCTCCCCTTTTTCACCTTAAAACCCTTCCCCCTCATCCTATGGCTCCCCTCCCTGATCCAGAGTCCCTCCCCAGCTTTCCTGGAGCCCCTTGAGGGACTGGAAGGGCCTCCAAGGTCTCCCTGGAGCCTTCTCTCCTCATACTGGGGGGCTCCAACCCCTTGGGGGGCACTGCCCTGGCCTCTCCCTCCTTCCCATGGGCTCGCTTTGGACAGGGAGGAGACTCTCAGCAGGGACCTGAGCCCACCAGAGAGAGGAGCAGGATCTCCCCTGCAGCCTTCCCGTTTTGGGGGGTCCCAGCTGGGCATTACATTGTGCTGCCCCTTTTTTCCCCCCAGTGGCTACGCCTACAACCGCTCGGAAGCCGGCAACGAGCTGGACATGGACCTGGGTGAAGAGGACGCGGAGGAGAACAGAGATGGGGGTGACACGGAGAGCGGCAGCATCGAGGAGGAGAGGTGGGTGAGCTCAGCGTGTGGGGCCAGGGCTTCCTGCTCCCCGGGGAGAGGGGCTGCAGCTCCCCTGGGATCATGGAATTCTCCATGGGGTCAGAAGGGACCTTCCATCTCCTGGAGTCCCACCACGGACCCAGCACTGACCAACCCACCACTGACCCGTGTCCCTCAGCACCACATCTGCCCGGCTTTTCAATCCCTCCAGGGATGGTGACTCCACCACTGCCCTGGGCAGCCTCTGCCAAGGCTTCACAGCCCTTTCCAGGAAGGAATTTTCCCCAATCTCCATCCCAACCCTCCCCTGGCCCAACTTGGGGCCGTTTCCTCTTGTTCCTTGGGAGAAGAGACCGACCCCCCCTGGCTGCCCCCTCCTTTCAGGGAGCTGTAGAGAGCCATGGGGTCTCCCCTCAGCCCCCTTTTCTCCAGGCTGAACCCCCCCAGCTCCCTCACAAGTTCTCCAGATCCTTCTCCTTGGTCTCCAGACCCCTCCCCAGCCCTGTTGCCCTTCTCTGGACACACTCCAGCCCCTCAATGTCCCTCCTGGTCGTGGGGGGGCTCCCTCTGTGCCCCCCACCCTCCTCCCCCGGGTGGTAACGACCCCTTTTTCTCCCTTTCAGGCAGCAGGTGATCTGCATGTGACTCCGGCAGCGGCTCCCAAGTTGCCCGGCGGCCCCCAACCGTCCTCCCGTGGCCCCCCCGAGCGGCCCCCCCGCCCCGTCGCTCCGTCCGTCCGTCAGCCCCACGGCATCGCTCTG